ACCCAAGTTTAAAATTCAATCATGTGCAGTAATCAGATTGATATCAAGTTAAATGTTTTATAGCTTGGAGTAAGTTCGGATTAACCTCTCAACTCGAATACCAACTTGCATTGCACGCGAGCGCGCACGCGCACACACACACATATATTTAGAGAGAGAGAGATTTTGTGTTAAATTATCTGTGTCACTCATTAGACTACCCCAGCACCTTGAAAACCTACCAATAATGGTTCCTTGTTCTACCATGCACAACTTGAAGCCCATCCAATTCAAAACTGGGGGTTTCATTGACTATGTCAGCCCTATTCTGAAGATGTCTCCTGAAATTTAGAACTTCATACAACAAATTTATGAAACTCACATGCAAGATGGATTCTCTATGCTCCAATTTAAATCTAGTTATGAGTTGCTGCAAAATGCAGAGTTTTTTTTTCACAAGTCAGGATAGCTTGGGCCAGCTTATGCATAGTTCGAGCTCACGGTTTGGCTCTAACAGGTTACCACGATCCGAATTTAAAACTTCTAAATTTATAACTCGTCATTATTATTACTTTAGCTACCATTGGGTTACAAAATGCACAGAGTTTGTGTCTACAACTTTGTGGTTGCCAAGTGGGTTGTACTAAATCAATCAGACATTTTCAATCATTGATCTAGTTCGGTAGGATTGAATTTTTTTGATCACTTGATAGAACGAGATTAGTGTCAAAGCACTACACATTACTGAAATCTGGAGAACACGAAGACAACCATTAGTCACACCACATAGGATAGTTGATTCAGCACATATAGAAGAGTACTAAGTGGCAGATTAGGACCGTCAAAAGCGTTGACGATTGATTGAACTCCAATCAAGTCCAATTTCAGGGACCATGTCAAATAATTTCAAAAAATCTCATTCCGAAAAAGTTCTCCACGACGTTTAGGTTAATTTTTAAGCACTTTTCTATCTCAGATCGCATCAATAACAGGGGATTAATATTACATCTCGAAACCCTAATTCTATGGTGATATATTATAAAAAATTATATCAGGTGACGTTGAAACAACTATTGTAATTCGATTTTTCCCCATTATTTTTTCTAGATCAAAGCACGCTTAATTCTCGCGTTGACTGTAATTATTAAACATTATCGTGCTTGTGTCAAAGTTATGCATTAATTAATCCTAAGGTAGTTCAAGTGGTAATAAGGACGAGTTGTAAATTCAAATGTCCTGAGTTTGAATCTTGACAACCCTTTAGAATCAAGTCATGAGCGATTTATCCATCAAGAATACCTTAGTCCCGGTGTCAATAACTTACCTTTGACTGGACTGGAGAGAAAATTAATCGAGATGCTCGTAAACCAAACTAGACAGTTTTGACCATTGAGTCAAAAAAAAAAGAAAAAAGAAAAAAAAGTTATGTATTGATTATAGTTGCTATGCCATTGATGAACCCCATTTCTTGATCTACGAGTAGAAGACGACCCAGCTTCTGCTTGGCAAAAATATGAGAGAGGAAGAGAAGATTGCATGGTGTTTTCTTATTGTTTTACCAAACCAAATGTATGGCAAAGTCCTCACGACTAAAGGCCGTTGCTTTTGACTTTGGTTTGTCAAGTCCATGGCCCAAATCCACATGTTTGAAAGACTCTGCAATGCATTACTCATCACAGCAATTTTTCCACAAAGAAAAATTATTCTAATTGAAAATTCACTCAGATATTTAGATAAAAAAATATTTAAAAAATCCTTAGACCCAGACCCAGACCCGACCCTGAAGAATTATCATTTACCAAACACAGCGTTTGAACTCAAGATGCGTGTGGTTACAAATTATTTCTTCCTTGACCACTGAACCAACTATCGCACGGATTATAAAAAGAACTTTTCCAAAATAAAGAAGCCAACATATTTATGTTTATTAATTTACATAAACTTTGTTTTGTCTTCCTCTCATGGAAACAATGCAAGCCATTGTTATTGATTATAATTAATTGTCAAAGATTTCTTCTAGAAGCATTGATTTAAAGTTTACATCCCCAACTTTTATATCTTTAGACACTCCCAACACAATACAAACAATTGACATTCCTAGTACATTTTCTTGTTTCACCCACTTTATGATCCCAATACAATCTATAGCATTCCAAGCTTGAATTTTGTTATATTATGAAACATATATTATATATTATAAGTTGCCAACAAGTAGATCAATAAGAAGCTGAATCTGAAAGGATGAAAAATGCCCATCGATCTAACGGATACAATACAAGCTTGAGTTTGAGAATTAGACTCTAAAAAACAAAAATAAGATTGCATATAATCTATTTCTCTCAAATCCCACTATAGGGTGGACACAATTAAATATGTCTAAATTTTATTTCAAAAAATACATACTTAATATGAAGAAAAAAAATTGAAGGGGGGGGGGGGGG